GCAGTTAAAAAACCCCTAGTCGTTTGAATTAAAAAAAAAAAAGTCCTCACAGTATCTCAAATAATTGTGTCTAAAGCAGGCTTAAGTTTCCTTCTCCTTCCTGTAAGTACACTCCTGAGTGTTCGTCCACTTTTAACAATTTCATGTTTAGCCTTCATTCTTTTTGCTTTGCCCATCCAAATCCCAAACAGATGTGTACAACTACATAGGATTTCTCTTTCTCTCTTCTTATTTCCCTTTTTCTCTCCCTTCATTCCTTTTTTCTTCCAAATAAAAATTCCATCATACCATACATATACATATTATTCTCTAACTTGCTCTTCAGTTAACAATATATCAAATCTATACTTTCAGATCAATACATATAAATCTATATAATTATTTTTAACAGCTGTAGAGTATTCCACAACAAGGAACTACTCTCTGTTGAAGTGTGTTTAGGTTCCTTTGATTAGGTTGAACCATATAAGACTCATATCTGTAGGGTTTTTGTGTGTGCGTGTGTTTATTTTCTAGTACAAACAATATTATAAATATCTGGGTACACATATCTTTACAGAGTTTTGTTTTTGTGGATAAAAAGATGTGGGATTTTTGTTTAAAAGATGTGTTTATTCTACTCATTGAAAGTAGATTGCTTTCCAAAAATACCGGTATAATATATGGTCCCAGCAATGACCTTCAGGAAAGTTATGCCACAGTGGCCTTTTTTTCAGTGCTTCTCTTAGAAGACTTCTCCCTAGTTCATTGTATTTGTCATTACCACACCTTCTCTCCTGGCACCACTTCACACCAGTTTTCCTCCTGCCTCTTTTTGGTCCCCTCCCCTCCCCTTCCCTCCCCTCCCCTCCCTTCCCTTCTCTTCTTCTGTTTGTTCCTAGATATTTGAATACCACCTGGTTCCACCCTAGCTTACTTCTCTAGCCACACTAAAAGTTCTGTTCTCCTATTAGGTAAGTTTAAGGTTTTAACGACAATCTCTACCTATTCTCAACCCACCAATGAGGTAGCCCAAAGGTCCCTTCACCTGAATTAGAATAGGATTTCCCTTCCTGAAGACATTGTACTGTCACTGTCCAGAAAGGTGTGGTAATTACTATTCAATCACTGTTCAATATTCTACAATATGTGCCCAGGATTGTGTGGTATATAAGCTCCACAATCCTCATTGATAGCTGTATTTACCACTTTTCTCCTGATTTCAAACTTCTGTATCAAAACTGTCCAGTGAACATCTCCAGATGGATGTTTTATAGATGTTGCCAGTATAAAAAACCCTTCTTGAAATACTTATGAATTTCTTTTCTTAGTAAATGAGACTCCCATTCACTGGGGTACACAATTCAGAAACCTGAAAATGCATTCTAGATCCCTCCCTCCCTCCCTTTGTCAATTCACAACCAATAGGTTACTAAGTCCTGCTGTTCAGATTTCATATTTCTGAGATCCATTATTTCTTTTCAGTCCCCAGTGCTGCTGTCCTGACCATCCTTTTCAAAGACTAAAAATAACTTCCCACTGGTTTTCCTATTTTCTGCCTTGCCTCCTTTCTATTATACACACTGTTGCCAGAGAATTTATCTAACATGCAAATCAAGTAGAAAAACCTTTAATGTCCACATTGTTAAGAGGCTAAAATCTAAACTTTTAAGCATGACTTTAATAAGAAGTTCTTTATTATCCAATGCTACTTACAAACCTTGACTCATTTCCTGACATTCTCTAAAAGCAACTTATGCTTTGGCTATATGGGTCTACTTTCCAATCCCACATGCCGAGAGCTCTCTAACAATTCAGTGCCTTTGCAAAAGGCAGCCTTCTGCTTGGAATTCCTTGTCTTGTTAGCCTGAAAAACACTTATATTTCAAGCCTCAGCTCTAGGGTTATTTTCCCTTCTGTAAATTTTTTGTTTCAGGCAGACTTAAATGCTTCTGCACTTGAGTTCCTTATTAATATGGTGCACTCTTGCACTATAGCAATGTTAACATTTAAATTATTTGTTATATTAATTAATGTTTCCAAACTAGGTTGTAAGCTCCTTAAAGATAGCAACTCTGATTGATCTCCTATTTGCATCCTTAGCACTTACTGTATTTTGTTTTGTATAACATGCACCCACATTTTTGGCCTAAACTTTCAGTAAAAAAATCCTTCATTTTAAATTTTTAATTCAATTTTTTGTCTATTTATATTTAGAAACAAAGCCAATTATCATATTCCAGGGTATTATTTTGCATAGTTATTGTTTTCTAGAGTTACACTTTTAGTGTATAAGCATAAATAAAATAATTAAAAATACTTATATAGATACAGAATTAGTACTACTATTGTACTAATGTATAATGCACATCCTTATTTTGCCCTAAAAAATTTGGGTCAAAAAGTGTACATTATACATGACAAAATAGTGACAGTGATTGGCATTGACTATTTAATAGGGGCTTAAATAAATGCAAAAACAAATTAGTTGAGTAATGAGAAGAATAGTATCTAGACAAGACTTAAGCTTAAGCTATAGATTTGTACTTACATAATTTTAAAAAATTGTAGAAGAATATATAATACATTAAGGGAAATTTAAGAACAGAAAAGTAAATACATTATTTCAACATTCTAATCCTTGTTTTAGTGCATTTATTTTCAGTCTTTGCTCAAATATGTGAGATTTATATTGTTCATATATCCATGTATGTGAGATATTTTTATATGACAATATGAGATATGTGTTCATATATGTATATTTTACATAGCTGTAATTAGAATCTACATGCACTTTTACCTGCTATTAAGTTTAGCTAACTATAAACATTTTCTAACACTGTTGCATCATCTTGCAAAATATCATTTTTCAGCATTATATCTCATTCCCTTACTTAGATGATAGCCTAAAGAAATTTATGCTGTACTCAGTTTTCTATTATAAACAGGAACAGATTCAGGTTTTGTGAAATTGACAATTTTGAGGGATTTTTTTAAAAAATAAAAAATTAATCTTACTTTTGCAAATAGGACCATGTGATCAGATTGTTAGCATCCTTCACTGGGCTCTGGAAGGGGCTTGGGAAAGTGAGAAGTCCTAAAGAGTAGGTTTCATTGGCTTCACTATCATCTATGTGTAGCTTCGGTGATAAATAATTCTGCAGTGAACATTTTGAACATGCAATTTTTGTCTCTTTTCGGTTATTTCCCAAGATTCCAAGTTACTATGACACCATTCACCTTAAAGGAGTTGAGAAAGAAAGGAAATGGTTATATGTTGAACAGTTTATATATATTATTTAATTTAATACCTCTTACAAACCTGATGGAGGCATTACCCCTGTTTTACAGAGGAGAAAACTGAGGTGTGGTGCATTTAAATGTCACACCCGAAGTCACGCATCTAGTTACGGGTAGGGTTTGGATCCTCACCCGTGTCTCACTCCAGAGCTCATGCCTTTGTCACTGACATCATGATGTCTCCACAGCCTCAGTAGCTTTCCAGTAATACAACCCCTGCTATTGCTGAAAGATATGGTTCTCATTTGTGTGATTTGAGGAGGCCAGAATACAAAATCTGCAGAGTACTGACATGGTTTTTGGAAGAAGGTAATTTAAATCAACTGTGGCTAGACTTTCATAAGTGAATTTAGGAGAAAGTGATTTAGCTCTCTCTGTCTTTCTACCTTACAGACATGCATGGCTCTGGTTCAGCATACATTTCTTGGAAGCAGGCTAATGAAGTCAGAAGTGGACTTGGGTTTGGGTCCTGCTGTTCAGTAGTTGAGTGGCCTTGGATAAGTCATTGAACTCCTCACGTTCTCACTTTCCTCCTTTATGCAATGAGGATAGTAACCGCAGGGTAGTTTTAAGTGTCAAATATGACAATGTGTGGGTAAGCACTTGGTGAAATCCAATGTCACTGAGATACTGGTAACATTGCTGGAGCAGCTCCACTTCTTCGCCTGCGTGCCCCCAGGTAAGGGCGTGTGACAGCTGGGCAGAATGGAACTGATGGTTCCATTATGGTTAACTCTTGGAGTGCCCTCCTAGTCTGCGGCAGCCACGTGATTTTCAGGCACTGTCTGTGTGGATACTCTTGAATGCCTAGTGCAGTGGAAGCAGCAGAAGCAGTGCAAACAAGTCTGAGATTCTGGGGAATTCTTTCCTCCTCAAGCTGAGAACTAATCATCAAAATATGCCAAACATTCATTATAAATTCAACTTGTAAAATTCCAGATACAGTCCTGTACAATTGTTCCTTTGCTCTCTTAGGTGCTGACGCATTTATCTTGGAATTTTATCTGCCAGGTTAGAAACCTTTAGTTCTGGCCTGACTTAATTCTGGAGCCAGTCTGTAGTTCTGGAAGCCAGGAGAAAACACAAATCTTAGTTTGAATTCTTGTTTGAACATCCTTCACTAGATCCACGTTTAAAGCTGGGTTTAAGTACCACTGGCTTTTATTTTCCTTAAATAACAAACTGCTAAAACCTGCGTGTTCTATCCTGAAGATTGCGCTCATCACCCCGTGTCGGGATCCGCGTTGCTCCGTGAGCGTGGACCTGCAGCTCAGCCACTCCCAGCCCGCCGGCCCCCATAACCCCTGGCCCAGGTGGCAAACGGCGTAGATAGCAAGCTCCACCTGGCTCGGCCAGCGGTAGCCGCACAAAGAGCGGAGCAGGCGGCGGCCCGGCCGAGCCGCAGAAAGTAGTCCCGACTACGCCGGTTCCAATGTTGTTCGACGTCGCTTCACGCCCTCCGCAGGGAAGACCGAAGCCGCCGGCCCAGGAAAGAATCCCATTGGAATGCGTCGCTGGGCGGCCTTTCTCTTCCAAGTCTCTTCAGCTCGCGGGGCAGACGCCTCGGGGTCTCCAAGCAGAGGCTGTGCGTGCGCCCCCCACTTCTTTTCATAACTGGACAGGAGGCGGCGCCGAGGGAGGGGGTTCGGCAACGCGCAGGAAGACCTTGGCGAAGACCAGAGGCGGCGGCGGGAGGCCCGTATCCCTGCGCCGCTGCGTGAGAGGAAGAGGCTGAATGAGGAACTGCGCGGGGGAAGCGGGGCGCCGGGGGAGGAGGCGGCGGGATGGAAGCAGACGCTGGCGTCGCGCGAGCCCCGGCCAGGGCGGCGCGGTAGAGAGGGCGGCGGCGCGCGCGGAGGCTTGACGTGCGCCTTTCTTTCTTCTCTCACTGGCAAGCTGGGAAGCATGAGCGTGCAGACCTGCTGCTGCGGCGGCCGCCCCGGCTCCTCGCCTCCCCCTTTTCTGGCCGCCCCTCGCCGGTGAGAGAAGAGAACGCGAGAAGGGAAGATGGGGGCCGTCCTGAGGAGCCTCCTGGCCTGCAGTTTCTGCGTGCTCCTGAGAGGTAGGAAGAGTGGAGGGGACGGGAAAGTTGGTGGGGTTTTGGGGGGGAGGTGGCCTTGTTTTGTGTGTATCTGGGGGGGAGGGGAGGGAGGGAGAAAAGGGGGAATAGGAGCGAGGAGAGGCCTGGTCGTGGGGAAGGAGAGAGAAGGGGCCGGGAGAAGGGGCTGGGCGCCCTGCCTGGCCACAATGCAGACCCCTGCCTAGGTTTCCGGACCGTATCTGGGCAGATTGTAGCTTCAGTCCGGTTGCTGGGCTCAGTGAACCCCTGCAGCACCATGCTGTCGGAATGACTGACGGTCTGTGGGTCTCTTTCTGCCTGGAGTCCTCAGGGAGAAGGATCTTTGTATATATCTTGGCTTTTAGAATATTTGAGCCCAAGATGCTTTCACGTTGGTCTCCCTCGAAGCCCCCACTTTTCTGTGTCTCTTACGTGAACTTTTAGAGCCCTCTTACTATTTTTTCAGGCCTTGTTAGAACTAATAATTGGCTTCCGTGGGGGATATAATGGTCCTGGGAGAGAACACAGTTGGGAAGTGACTCCGAGGTTGTAGGTCGAGCAGTTCAGCACTGGGAATCATCTGAACTTCAGCCCATAGTAAAATGGAAACGGTGACCTGCCCCTATTTTGGGAGCATGCAAGTGTACAGTTGGCACTAACTGGGAAAGTCATCCTGGTGTAAAAAGGAGCCTGTCTTTGGGACCTACGTTATCATTTGCTGCGCTCCCCAGGGGACTGCTTGGCACTTGGGTAAATAACCTAGGCTCTTCTAGGTGATTTGCTCTAAGAATCTCATGCATTCCCTGGTCCTGTGGTTTTTTGAATCGGCCTACAAAGCTGTCACTTATGCTGTGACTTCTATTTTGTGACAGTTCACTAAGGTTTGACCGGCCCGCAGGATTTCAATACCTCCTCTCAAACTTGGCTGTCCGTCCGTGTCGAAGCGGTGATGAGATGAGTCTTAGGCTCTTGAGCCAGCAGAGGAATTTAAGTCCTGATTGATGCAATGGCTTGTAGCCTTTTTTTTGTAAAGATTCTCGCTTGTGTTCATGGTCATTTCTTTTCAGGCATGGGACTTCTTGAGTCAGTGGAGATTTTTAGTTATTAATTTAACAAGCTGAACTTTTGGTAAGCCTCCAAAACTTACTGAAGTACAGAACACAATAGTCACTAACGATCTCATGATATAAATGAGCCAGGTGTGCTATTCCTGTGTGTACATACTAATTTTGTATGAGCACGAGTTACCTTTTACTTTACTTTTTTTTGAGGAAGAATTTTTTCTTTACTCTTCTGTAGGATTATTATATTTCCATGTTGTATCTACTTATACTTAATAATGAGGACTCATTAAGCATATTCCAAACTGTTTCCACATGTAAACCCCAGAAAGATAATGCTCATTTAATTTTCTTGGCAGAGGATTTAATGAGGTGTTATGTACTTGAGAGGTTTAATAAGTGTATGTCTAGTATAGTATACTCCCTATTGAAAGGGGTTTTGCCATAGCTGTGAGAAACAATTATATTTGACATCACATATGTAGATATTTTAAGACAGAGTTAATAATGTTAACAAATATGGGAGTCTGCTGAGAGGTTAAAGTCTTGGGGAAATCTAAATCTATAACCCAGGATGCTTCTGGTTGCCCAACTGTATTTCTTGGAGGGGGATCCTGTGATGTAAATGCCATTAGTTTATTTTAACACCAAGTTTGGCCTAGAGGTGGGTTTGTTCATTACCAGAATTAAGAGAAGTTGCATTTGAATTAATATTTTTGAAGTGTGGTAGTATTGTAACAAGACCTAACAGTTAATGGTTTAAATGGCCTCATTTCCACTAAGTGGAGTTTTCATTTTAAATGTAGCATAATAATGGTATTTGAATTTAACAGCACTTGACTGTGAATACATATTATTTGAACTAAAACTGCCTTTTGATGTGGAAGATTTTTATTCATAATTTAGATTCTTTTCATTCTTTGAAAATGTCATCTTCTGTTGTAATAGTGATATTAGTTAACCTTAGGCTCCAAGGAGAAAAATGTGATTAATTTGTTGAATTAAGGACATTTTTCTGCCCTGAGCAGTGTGGCTAGGTTGGGCATTGTCCCTCAAAGTGAAAGGTCGCCCGGTTAGATCCCCTGTCCGGACACATGCCGGGTTGTGGGTTTGGTCTCTAGGTGGGGTGCATACTAGAGGCACCTGATTCATGTTTTCCTCTCACATCTGTCTGTCTCTTGCAGTGATATTTCTCTTCCTTCCCCTCTCTCTAAAAAGAAATAAAATGTTTTAAAAAAAAGACGTTTAAAAGACGTTTTTCTTTACAGAAAAGTCGGAGCTTTAACATTGGGAAGATGGGATGATGAGAGAGTTTGGACAACTTTTGTCCTGTATCTCTGTTACATCAATAGCTGAAAGTTGGGAAGTAATACAGTCATCATCTAGGCTGCATTTCTGTCCGTGTCACTGGAGGTGAATGGAAAGAATTGGAGATTTCAATACTAAAATTTTGGGTTTAAATTCCACATTTCACTACTTAATAACTTTGTGTTTCTGGTCTAGTCAGTTTCTCTGGGCCTCAATGTCTTTACCTGCAAAATATAGGTAGTAATATTGCTCTAATTTGCCGTTTTATTGGGCATATTAAATGAAGTAATGAGTATGAAGTAATAGTGGGGATTGAAACCCACTTCACCATTCTTTTTACATTGTTTCTGTTAAGTGCTGACTCTAATATGTGGCTTGTAGATAAATAGCATGTTTATATAAGAATCCCAGGAACTAACTTAAAAGGATACAGACTCCAATCTTCAGGCATCCCACCGCCAGGAGATTTGCTGACCTTCAGCCGTGGAGCCAGGATGACTAAACCAGGATGATGCACACCAGACCGTCACTTGCCTTGTTGGAATGGACTATGCTCATCTGCACGAAGAGAACTTTTCAGCCCCCTCCCTTGATCTTTGTTCTGCTCCCCTCTCCCTCCTTATAAAAACCTCTGCCTGCACTGAGATGTTAAGATGGGCTTTGAGACAAGAGTCTCCCAACTTCCTAGAAGGTGAACTTTAGGACATGAGTCCCCCATCTTCCAGGTTGTCAGCACTCAGAAATAAACCAATTTTCTTTACATCAGCACCTGCCTCTCATGTATTGGCTTTTGAAGAGGCAGGCAGATGGACAGACCTGCTTTCGGTTACAAAGTGACCTGCCAGTGTCATTTTTTTGTTGTAATTTTTTGACTGTGGACATGGCCACAAATGCTGGAGATTTTGAGACTTAATTTGTGTAAGATTCATGAATGCTTAAAGGTAGAAGAGATCTTGATCATTTTGGTCTAACCACTTTATTTGCAAGTGGGGAAACTAGGAGTCAGAGATTATAATTTGAGCAATAGCCTAATGCTAATTAATGGTAGAGCAGGGATTTATTTTTCATTCTTTAAGCAAATACAGGGTGGGGCAAAAGTAGGTTTACAGTTATGAGTATGTGAAACAGAATTTATTCTTGTTTTATTATTTATTAATTATTGTATTCCCATACAACGGTAAACCTGATTTTGCCTCACCCTGAGTATATGGAATACCTACTGTATCCTAGGGCTCTGGTATATTTGTGAGCAAAATAGACATGGTTGCTGCTCTGATGGACCTCACAATCTAAGTTGTCATTTTTTACCATTCTCTTAATTCCATCCAGGTACTGATTAGAAAAAGATTATATCTCTGATGATCTAGAGGGAATATTTTTATAAGAATATATGTTTTGCAGTATTGTTAGTGTGTGTAATCTGTAAATACCATGTCCCAGCTTTCTTTGAGGAGGCTTTTTGTTTTATAAAAATTCTTTGCTACTTATTTCGGTGGGGTGGTGGTAAATATGTTAGGACAAGAGACATGGTTTCCCAAGTTATATTTTTATAGAACTGACCCTTGTAAAAATTTTTAAAAATAATACCAGAACCCTGGCTAGTATAACTCAGTGGATTGAGCATGGGCTGTGAATCAAAGGGTTGCCAGTTCACTTCCCAGTCAGGGCACATGCCTGGATTGCAGGTCAGGTCCCCAGTGGGGGCAACGTGAGAGGCAACCACACATTGATATTTCTCTCTCTTCCTCCCTTCACCTCTCTCTAAAAATAAAAAAATAACACCTTTAAAAAACAATATTACCAGGTATGATGTAGTCTTGGGGAGGCAGAATACATTTTGGAGTGGGAGTCAAAAGAATTAGGTTCTCATTCTAAGTTTGCCATTAGTTAGCTGTGTGACCTTGGATAAGTCACTTAATCTCTGTACACCTTATCTTTATTAGGATAATGGAACTTTCTTTTGGAGATCATAATTTATATTTGCACATTAAGGACTCAGACATCCCCAGGCAGAAAGACCATCTTAATAACTTTGTTTAACCCACTATTTCTCAAACTTGACAATGACTTTTTTTCACATTCTTTTAACATTCTGCTGACCCTTTGTTCCAAGCAACACACTTGAAGGGAACCTTGACTAGATAACTCTTCAGGCATTGGGTTGATTCATGTGAATTGATACTTGATGACAATGTCATATACAGTTCCCCTGGTTCAGTTTTTTGTTTTTGTTTTGCTTTAATTGGAGGTTTTTCTATTTGCTCAACTGAAATACTATTTTCATATAGTTATGCATGCTTTGGTTATCAGAAATGACTCTTCTTTTTGACTATCAAAAAAGATTCTGTAGAGAGGTATATAAATGGAAACCATTTATGTGAACTTATAATTTGAACATAATAGAAAAACAGCACAGGTTACAGTTCTGTTTAGGCCACAGGTAACTATGAGAAAATCCATTTCCATCATAGAAATTTTATTGCAAATTTATATATTCAGAGAAGATTATAAAGGGGTACACTATGTTAGAAAGGCATGGGCTTTGTTGACAAACAAACCAAGTTCAAATCTTCTATTACTTCATGTAACCTTGGACAAATTACTTAGCTTTAGTTTCCTCTACTGTCAGGTAGG